GTGTGTGTGTGTGTGTGTGTGTGTATGCATACACATATATGTGTGTATATATATATATATATATATATATATATATATATATTTAAATTATTATTGCTAGTGTACCCTTTGTCTTTTATATTAGCATTTTTACTTTGAAAAGATGTTTATGTCATCATCTTGAGACACTAGAACTTGAAGGATGTAGAGAACTAAGGGATAGGTCAGAGTTTTAAAAAAGTTAAAAGCCAGTCCTAGAACTCCTGTATCCTGTATCTGCTAGCACAAATAGACCACATCTTGGTGAATTCACTTAAGGTTCAAATTTCTTAGCAAGGTATGGGAAGACTTTCGTTATGCATCCAAAGTAACCTTTCATCAATCTGCTCTTAAGCATTTGTGAATATTCTCTCTCATTTTATGTTTTTTACCTGCTCGACCTCCTAACTAGAATATTCTCATTCATTCTCTGTCTGGGAAACTCCTTTTTCCACTGTACCAAAACCAGCTGAAAAGTCAGTGCAAGTTCTCTAGGCAGTGAGTTGCTCTTCCTTTTGAGCTTCCAAGCACTCATTATAACATTTGTCACACTAAATTACTATTATTTTTCTATCAGTCTACCTTCTTGTAAACAGCAAATATTTTACATTTGCATCAGGTATTGAAATACAACTGAATGAAAAATAAGTAACAATGAATTTTTACTAGGAAAAATAAAAGGATTACATAAAGTTATTCTTAGTTCATATATTCCATATTAAAATGTGATATTTCTTACTCCTTTTTATATAGTTTTCTCTCATGAACTACTTAGGACTGCTTTTTGTTTTTTTCTTAAAGAAGGTACTGAGAAAATAAAACACTAATGGGGAGAAAAATCTTATTTTTAGTAAATATGAATCTATAACCTATGACATCAAATGATTCCATCTGTTCTTAGTTTTTTTCCAGCAAAATTTTGCATATAGCAATTGCATCTAATGATTTGGCTTACTAAATCAGAAGGAGAAAAACAAAGAGCAGGCGTATTCTCTCTAGATGAACAAGAAGTGACCATCTGGAATTTACGGGATTTTTCCTTCCTTCCTTCCTTCCTTTCTTTTTGTAAAAAGGAAAACATACACATGCAAATTACAAAAAAAAAATACATGATAAGTTTAAAAAAATATCAGTAGAGTCTGCCAAGTGAAAGTAAAAGCAGAAATTATTATTTCGGCTACTTTTAAAATTTCACCAGTAGTTTTTTTTTTTTTTTTTTAAAGATTATTTATTTATTTATTTGACAGAGATCACAAGCAGGCAGAGAAGCCAGCATAGAGAGAGGAGGAAGCAGGCTCCCCACCCAGCAGAGAGCCCGATGCAGGGCTTGATCCCAGGACCCTGGGATCATGACCTGAGCCGAAGGCAGGGGCCCTAACCCACTGAGCCACCCAGGTGCCCCTTTCACCAGTAGTTTTGATGAGTCCACCATTTTAAAAGACATTTTCTCAGTTACCTTACAACAAACCAGGAGAAGAAAGCAGTAAGTAACTACTGGTAGCATACAGAGAATAAGCACTTTTAAATCTGTTACATATTACTGTTAAAAATCTATATGGAAGCCTTCATATTGCTTGTACAATTTCTTTGCATCCTAAATCTCAGCTTGATGTCAGTGAGCCATGAAATGAAACCCTGGAGAATTCCTGCCATACAATGATGGTCTCAACATAGTTTTTGCTAGGTACTCCTGATGTGTTTCATAGACTAGCTGCTTTAAAGAAAGTACATGGCTAAAATGCTGTTTCATGTATTGAAATAAGGATAGAAAATAAAAGCCTACAATATATAAATAAGAGTTAAAATGTCACCTGTAATAGTTGGTTTCCTACCAATGTGCTTCAACACAAATGTATTTTGCTTCATAAATACATCTATAAAATGTAGAGATAAGTAAAGAGTAAAGATGGTCTTCCTTTATTTTCCGATAAGGAGAAAGAGATGTTCCAATACATAGACCTGGATTTCATTTTCTCACCCAAGGCACCTCTGATGTGCATAAAGTATGAATTTCTTATTGTATTAAAGTTAGAAAAGAGAAACCTGCCACTTACTGATCAAGACCACAAAACTCGAGAATGTTAATTAAAATACTGATATTTCTGATTTTAATCTATGAGACAAACTACAGCAAAAACATAAATCCAGTAGAGCTTCTTATTAAAGCACACAGGTAATTAAATACATGCAAGCAAAAAATGGGCTGAAGATGCACAATTCCCCAAACGCATACAAGTATGTGTAAAGGGTGGAAGAAATATGAATTCAGAACTCATGGGAAAGTAAAAGGGGGAAAAAGAAACCCCAAAACCCCAAAATAGCCCCCAAATGCTATGTGGTTACTTTGCTAATCCTGGTTTTATAAATGAGAAAATTTGTGAGCTTCTTGAGAATTGGAAGTGCTTTAAGCACTCCTACCCCTCTCCTCCACTATAATTAATCAAAGACTCAGTATATACTAACACCTGACACACTGTCCAGAACATATTATGCAAACAAAATAGATTGCTTAAAAAGCTGAAGGTAGAAAATACATACTTGCGGGTGAATTTAAAGAATGCACTGTTATAAGGTAGAGAAATACAAAAACCTTAATGATATTAAAGTCGTTTCCTTCTCGATTAAAAACAAAAACTTCAAGATGGAATGACTGACATTTATTCATGAAATCCTGTGTCATAGATCATAATAACATGTATAAAACTTAACTGATAGACCATAACAAAGAAAAGGGAATTCTAATCCTAGTTCCTCCTTCAACTTAAAACAAGTCAATTAAATTTTGTAGGTTTTAGTTTTCCTACCTATGAAATGAGGTTTGGACCTAGATGAGTTCTAAGATTCCTTAAAGGTTTAAATAGCTCTGATTATATAAAATACTAAAAATTTGTTCTAGATTACTTCAGTTGAATATGAATCTTGGTAACCGGGAAAGTAATCAAATTTTATAAACAATTCTATAGGCACACTTTAAATCCTGATGATGACTCAATATATTCAACATTATAAATTTAAACTTCAAATATTTCTCAAGACACACAAACATTAGTGTTCCCCCAAGATACAGTTATTTACCCCAAGAGTAACTTTATTTCATTCAAGAATATTCAGAGTTTGGTTTTAATTAGACACTTTAAACTTAACCTCTTTCCTGTTCTATTCTGTCTTCTTTGCCCTTCTACCACCAAACCATAAACTGTACTCCATTATCTGATTTATAACATTTAGTCTGCTATGTTCCAAAAAGACATGTCTAACCATCTTAAATCTCCCTTTTCTGACTTACCTTAAAATGTCTAACCATCTTAAATCTCCCTTTTCTGACTTACCATACTATTTAAGGTAATCAGTATTAAGATAGTATTTTAAAATTCGGCTTTTTATATTTTAGGACACGTTTTTCTCCGTTAGGACCCTTTAAAGTTAAGCCACACAAACGCTCCACAAAAAGATGTTAGTCAAAGATAACCAAAGCAGAGCAAAAGCTATACTTTGCAATTCAACAGTCAGTAAAAAAAAAGAGAAAATTATAGGTTGTTAATGACTCAGGATAAAAGCAAAATTAAATAATAAATAATTGGCATAGGAACTAGAAAGTAACATAGTAAAGTTCAAAATTTCATGACTTTAAAATCTTGATAATTACTGCTATGAAAAAAAGTCAGTTTGATAGCATGCAACTTCTGTCCTTTTCAATCCATCAGTATTTTAAAGGATACTTAGTACCAGAATAATGTGTGACTCTGCCACGAACTGAGCTTGGCTGCTTCCGTGAATGTAGCTCTATAAAACAAGACAAAGAAACAAAAATTACAATCTAGAGAAAAGCAGATCTTTTCCTAAGTTTTTTTTTTTTTTTCCTCCCTTCCTTTTTTTTTTTTTTTTTGTATATTTAATTTTATACCATGAAGGGAAATAATAGAAAAATCTAAACTCCTGTTTCCAATTCTTTTGAATAAAATAATTAACTAGAAATAACAGATGAATATGTTTGTTGAAATTACTGTAATTTGTAGAAAGCAACTTAATATCAAAAGTAAATTTAATATAATTTCTTAAAAGGTTTACTACAAACACAAGCATATAATTTAATGATTACTCCACAGTTACTGAAGATATAAGATACAAATTAGAGCAACTAAGTTTATCTTTAAGGAAAAAATGACTACCAAATATTAAATTGCTCTTTTCCCCATTATCAGAGTTTTAAAATAAGATAGCTTTATAAATTTATTCATTCCATTAGAGCATTTAAATTGGCCTTTAAAAAAATAAAACTGTTACCACACTGAGAAATGTACAGTTTTCCATACCTAGTAAGAACTATTAATAGTTGATGCCAATCAATTACAGAAAATATGAGACAAATCTCCATCTAGGATATTTTACTGCTTAAAAAACTGACTCACATTATTTCTGCTGTTAACCTCTTATGAAAATTAACTGCTATGCAGTTGTTATAAATACACATCATTTCCTAGGTTTTCTGATTATTAAAAAAAAATTTTGGAGAAAAAAATAACATCTATAATATAAACCAATGTCCTCAATTTTAACACCACATGTGAAGCATAATTATCATTTGAGAGGACCCTTTTGATTCTCTCAAAATCTTTTGTTTTTATTTTTGACAATAAATATGGATGAAAGCATACCTAAAGCATGTTCTTATAAAGAGTAACTACAAATTAGAAAATTACTCTTTCTTGGCCTTGATCTTGGACATGTTACCAAATTTCTCAGAAACTCAATATCCCTTCATCTATGAAATCAGGAATGGAATTAGATGATTTCTGTGATTTTTGTGAAGTATATAAAGTCTTCTGTTTTGTCATAAATTGCATCTTGGTATTTTCATTAAAGGCTGTTTTTTCTACTCTGACCTAAATGGTCTTTGTTTCCATCTCTAATATCAGTAATTCATAGGGCAGCTGTCTTATCCAAAGATATGTTTAGGTATGTTCTTTAAGCCCAGCTTCAAGCAAACTGACTAAAAGAGACTTGGTATTCTAATAGTTTTCACTAATGTACTCCACTTGAAAGTCTAAAACTTAAAGTGGTCCAAACCAAAGCTTTGATTCTATTCCAGAATTGGCAACATAATTTTTCCAGTTGTTTAAGCCAAAATCTTGGAATCATCTTAGTCTATTCTTCTCTCCTTCCTCCCCTCTTCCTCTCTTTCTACTCATTTGGAAAATACACTGACTCTACTTTCAAAATCCACTCCAAATTTAACCAGTTTTAACTACTTCCAGGAAGCACTAGTAAAAGTGCCCATGGAGGGCTCCTGGGTGACTCAGTGAAGTGCAACTGAGCCTCACGTCAGGCTCCTTGCTCAGCGGAGTGTCTGTTCTTTCCCTCTTTCCCTCTGCTCCCCAACCCCCTGCTGGCTCACATTCTCTCCCTCTAAAATAAATAGATCTTAAAAAAAAAAAAAAAAAGTTCTCAAGGATAAAGGCCAAGACTTATTGCCTGGTCTAAGCAGTCACCATCTCTTGCAGAGATTATTGCAATATCCTCCTTTCTTCTCCCTGCCTCTGCCCTAAAGTCTATTTGCTAGCCAGATTAATCCTGCTAAAACTGAGACTCTATCACTATCCTCAGAATCCTTCAATTCTTAAGTGTGTAAGAAAAATATTGTATGATATAATGTATTATCTGCTTGTAATCACAATTCCAAAGAATCTACATTCTAATTAAAAAAATACAGCTAGACTAAAAACAAAAATCTGAAGTTGATCCTTAAAGACTTACTTCACTCTATCCGATCTATAATACATGTGGGCTTACTTCTTGTTTACATGAGGCAATACAGAGTAAAGGCTTGGAGACAGTCGTGAAACTGCTACTTGCTGTGTTATCTTGAACAAATTACTTAACCTCACAGCTTTAATAGGATTAGGAAGATATTCCTCAAAATATTGTCCTAAAAATTAAGTAAGATAATGTCATGGTAAGTAATTAGCACAACACCTGGCTTTCTTTGTAGTACACGGTCAAAAATAATTAAGGTCCTATCATTTTAAAGTCTCTATTTGAAACTATTTGTATCACGCCCTTCAGAAATTATTTACATGGGTAAATTTAGTGTGTTGAACTGATATTTTAAAAAGATGATAGGAACCTGTACTAATTTTAATTTTAAGACCATATACCCTGAAAGACTTCAGGATTTAATAAAGTAGAATTCATTAGATAAATTTTTACTGAAAAATTCTTATGTACCAGGTATTAATTTAGGCAATGGGGACCAAGCATAACAAAACAGAAAACAACTAACCCCCCCAAAAAAACTATGTTTTCATGACTTAACACATTCAAACTGTGAGAACACTGTTTGTCTACCTAAGTAAACAGAAAGATTATTGGCACATACTAAAAGCCATTGAGAGCTAACACAAGAATACAAACACAAATAATAAGGAAATATACAAACACAGACTTTGCAAAGGTCTGGGCGTTGACCTTAGAAATAGTTATCTTTAATTTATGGGGCCACCCAAAGCAATGACTTAATCAATTAAAATGAACTAAAGTGCTTGATTTTTAAGGTGGTCTTAAAATATTGTATTTAATGCATACACTTTCAAAATCCTTTGACAGGGGCGCCTGGGTGGCTCAGTGGGTTAAAGCCTCTGCCTTCAGCTCAGGTCATGATCCCAGGGTCCTGGGATCGAGCCCTGCATCGGGCTCTCTGCTCAGTGGGGAGCCTGCTTCCCTTCCTCTCTCTCTGCCTGCCTCTCTGCCTACTTGTGATCTCTGTCAAATAAATAAATAAAATCTTTAAAAAAAAAATCCTTTGACAGAAACATCAAAAAAATAAATTCTTTTGTAGCTTTAGCATGATTAATATCTTTTCCCTTTCTGATTTTTACCAATTCTGATAAGGGAAGTATTAGTAACTAATGATAAATTCATCCTAGCTATATACGGACAACACAGTTATAGAATGATGAATGGATAAGAAGGAAATCTGCATAGTCTTAGATACTCGATACATATCTATCTTTTCCATGGAGATAAAATGTTTTAACAAACCATAAATATATTCTTCCCTTGACCAGTTCATCGAACACTTATTTATAGAGCATATAAGTCAAAAATCAAATGAAAGACTGGCTCATAAAAATTATTGGAAAGTTCATTACCATGACATCACCTAATGACCAATTTTATTAAGAAGAAAAATTAAAGGATTTGAATTTTGCATAGCATAATATAAGTAAATAATATATATGAATAACACTTTTTTCTTAATTTCAAGTATCGTACTTGAAAATAAAAAAATAGTATGTTTTGTTTAATACAGTGGTTCTAATACCTCTTATAGAAGAGTATCAGAAAAGGAAATAGAAATTAAGCTAAATATAGTATAGGTCAGTAGATAAAAGGAACCTCATTCCACTTAATCCTAAATTCTTGGGAAAATGTTATCTGTCATTCTCTGCCTTTTCAATATTGTTTTAAAATTGTGTTGGTACTGAGTAGTCGTTAAGCAGTTCTTTCATACACTTAAATATTCTGAAAATAATTGGTTAGTGTGAACCAACAGTTTGTTGTCCGAGAAAGAAGCTTTTGTAATGAAAAGTACACTGAACTCAGAGTCAGGAGTCTTGTTTTCTAGTGCTGATCATCTCCATTCAATTTAAGAAACTAGCTGTTAATCTCAGTCAATTCAATCATTCGGGTCTGAGTTTCCTAATTTGAAAATGAAAGACACTGAAATTGATTATATCAAGAAAACAGGATAGTATGGTGGTTTCAATCCAAATTTCAATCCAAATGCCTGAGTTGGAATTCTTATCCTGGATCTGCCACAAATGTGACCTTGAGCAAAATTACTCTAAGCCTCAAAGGGTTCAACTGGAAACAACTATTTCCAGCTGGAAAAAAAAAAAAAAAAGTGAGAAGTAAATGAGCTAATACATGTGAAATACTTAGTATCAGGCCTAAAACCCACTAAGCAGTCAATAAGTGTTATTATTATTACGATTAGTTGTCTAAAATTCAAATGAATTTCAACATTTTACTTAGATATGTGACTCACAGATGAACATAATGGCCATTGATTTTATGTCCATTGGTAGTCAATTAACAGTAGATTATGTCTGGGTTAAATTCTCCCTGTCAGTGAATAATTATTTTTTAAACTTCCAAGCTGATATTAAAATTACCTGCCTTGGAGCAAAAGCAAGATCTAAACAACCAACCAGTTTGATGAACCTGAACAGACTGTTGCAGTTAAATGGGCTTTGGAGCAAAACCAAATAGTAACATAAGCACAACACAAAAAGTTCTTCACTAACCTATATAAGCCAGGAAATAACTCTTCTGAAGATAGTAATGCAAAGGATTCAATTTAGTTGTCTCTCCCTTATTAATTGATAAAATATATATTGGTATCTATTTGCTTTGGCATATGTGTCTTGCTGGGAAAAAACCAAAAGTGTACTTAAACCAATCCCAGGGAGATATAAGTGGTTTTGAATATTAAAAATGTAACTTATTTTAAGTGAGTAATTTATAACACCAAGAAAATGGCAAATGCATGAAGTGAAGATTGGATATTGGGTGTTAACCCAATGGCAATCTGTCTCAGCTCAAAGGTCAAATCCACAAAAGTGCTTTTGGTCCCATCTTTCATTTTAAAATACGTGGTTGTGTAATGAACCAAGAACTTGTCAACTGCTAGAAGAAACACTGCTGGGATTATCTTTCAGCAACTACATGAATTTTTTCTGTCCATTTTTTTCATGTACTTTCACTTAAACAACATGTAAATT